ATAGGTATGTCCCCTTTTCGTTTAGTTTACGGGAAAGCGTGTCATCTTCCTGTTGAGTTGGAACATAAAGCCTTTTGGGCCGTGAAAAATGTCAACTTGGACATTGATGCAGCCGGTACTCACCGAAAACTCCAACTCCAAGAATTGGAAGAGATAYGCAATGATGCGTATGAGAGTAGTCATATATATAAAGAAAAGACCAAAGCTTTTCATGACAAAATGTCTTCCCGTAAGACATTTGTTTTAGGTCAAAAGGTCTTACTTTTTCACTCTCGTCTCAAACTATTTCCCGGAAAGCTTAGGTCCCGGTGGGTGGGACCATTTGTTGTTACTAATGTATTTGGTTATGGTGCCATAGAGATTAAAAGTGAGAAAACGGGAAAAGTGTTCAAGGTTAATGGTCATCGTTTAAAGCCATTCTATGAAGGGTTCAAGCCTCTTGATGTAGAGGTTTTCAAGGTGGAGGTGCCGAAGGAGGGAGCACCATAGACATGACATGAAAGCGTCTAGCCAAGGACATTAAACAAAGGCGCTGATTGGGAGGCAACCCAATTTTATTGCTTTATTTCCATTCTCGTTTACTTTTAGTTTGTTTTAATTGTCTTTGGGTTGATGAGTTTTGTTTCCAGGTCGTCCTCTATGAATTTGGAATTCTACCCCCCCCCCTTCTCGGAGTACAAGGAGGCCTCCACCAAGCCTGGATCATGCATTGGGCGATAGTCTACATATTCAGGGAAGATTTCCTTTTCCCTTTGCCTATTATTGTTTTTAGACTATGTCATTGAATGCATATATTGAGGACAATATATGATTTTAGTGTGGGGATATGGGCTATTGCGTGTTAAGAGGGCTAAATTTCTTGAATTTTGACTCGTTTTTGGGCAATTATAAAGTAAATTGCATGAGTTGACAGATTTTATGCTTGCGTTGCCATGAAAACCATAGCATAAATGATTGTGAGGTTTGCTTGTGTAGTCATGATTATCACATTTGAGATGACTTTTGTGAGTCTTGCWAATCTTATGAACAAAATGCACCTGTGAGTTATTGAGCCATGATTGAACATTATTTTCAATCCTATTTCGTTTGTGTGTATTGCATCTTCCATGTTCATGCCACTCTAGAACTTGCGTTAGGACTCTTCAAGATTGCATTTAGGTAATGCTAGTGTGTGAAAAGGATAAAGGCCATTCTTGATGTTATTTTTAACCATTTAGCCTATAAGCCAACCTTTATGTATGTATTCCATCTTGATCACCCCTTTGAGCCTATATACCATTTTCTTTGTTTTACACCACATTTTTAACCCCTAATCAAACACATCCCTTACCGGACTTTGGGAATGAGACCATAATTCTAATTATGCTCCTAGGCATATGAGTTAGACCCTCAATATGATCCAAAAGGCTCATATTATTATGGTGTAAAAAAAAAAAAAAGTTTCCGAAAATAGAGTTTAAAGTGATACCCATATTACAGGGTCCCACCTAAGGGAGTTTTCACTAATAATACCATTAATACACTAAGTAATTCTGTCAAGAAATATAGTATAATTTCTAGTTTGCCTCAGAAATTTGATGACTATGTTGTAGAAGGCAAAGTCAAATTTGGTTTGGAGAATGGTGTTAAATATTCATTCCTTAATAATGAAATTTTTTGCTTTGTTGAACCAATTGTTGAACCTCTCTCTTAGTGATTTGATGATAATCCCTTTTACCTTATACGAAGTATTTTATGTTTCTGTCTTTCAGTTCCATCAATCATCACTGAGTCTGTTCAGTGATCGCTGAGAACATGTAATGTAAATCCATCAGCGACAGCGATACTTCAAGAAGACAAAACTCACACCAAAGAACTTTCAGCGAAAGTCGAAGACTGAAACTGAATATTAGAGGCTGGCGAGTACGTGATCTGAAGCGGTATTCAGTGATTACAACCTGGTCTATACATGTGTGAAGACTGCCCAAGCCTCAACGAATGCTGAAGAGACCTTCAGGTTATTCCAGCATTCAACGATCAAAAGAAGCTTGTTGAGCACGATTGCTTTTGTCTTGTACTTATACACACAAAGAACAAACCTATACCCTTTCTAGAGTATAGTAAGGTACGGAGCTGATTAGTTGACTCTACTACCCACCAACTTTATGAAAGGATGTCTGCTCATGAATAGGCTTTTGTACTGTTAACTATAGCAAATGACAAGTCTTTCTCTAAAGGCTTGACACGTGTTCAAGGTCTAGTACGTTGCATTAAATGTGCATTTAATGCAATGAGTATAAATAGATGTGTTCTATCTCCATGCAGAGACACTCTAATACTTACTCTTGAACCCTAACGTACATTCATAAGTAAAAGAACACACATCTAAGGACACAATACGCTTATCTTCAAAAGCAAGTTAGAATCCCTTTTTTATTTTCTAAATAGTTCTTACCCAGCAAGAACTAACATCCTTCTAAGTCTTTTATAGCAAATCTTTTCTCTATTTGCTAAGAATTAGTGTGTAACTTAGATTGTTTAGATAGGTTATTTTTTACCTTATCTTTCCGCAAACAATTTTGTAAAATCTGTATTGATCTTTCTTTATCAATATATATTTTAAATTTGAAAAGTTTGTTGTGTTTGTATTCATCCCCCCTCTACAAACTGTTATACATATCTTGTAGACCCTAACGGGACCAACACCAATAAACTATTTCGATGCTAGTAAAGATTCTAATTGGATAACTGTTATGGACAATGAAATGGAGGCCTTATGTAGAAATGGTACCTAGGTTGTTACCGATCTTCCTACGAGAAGAAAGTCTATTGGGTGTAAGTGGGTTTATAAAATTAAATATAAATTTACTGGTGAGATAAAGAGCTATAAGTCCAGGTTAGTTCTCAAAGATTATAGTCAGAGATAAGGGTTAGGTTATGAAGAAATGTTTTCCCCAGTAGTTAAAATGGTAACTGTCAGATGTGTCATCGCCATATCTATTCAAATTGGTTGAGATTTGTGTTAACTTGATGTAAATAATGCATTCTTGTATGGAAGTTTGGATGAAGAAGTTCAGATGAGTCTTCCTCAAGGGTATTTCTCACTTGATGATAAATGTTTGTAAACTTGTTAAGTCATTATATGTCTAAAACAAGATCCTAGACAATGGTATGCTAGACTTTCTGATTGTTTGTTTAAGTTTGGGTTTATTCAGAGTAGTAATTATTATTCTCTGTTTACTCTTTATGTAGATTTTGTTTTCCTGGTTTTATTAGTTTATGTTGATGATATAGTAATCATTGGATATAATAATAATGAGATTAACAAAGTTAAAGATAATTTGAAAACCAAATTCATGATAAAGGATTTAGGAATTCTTCAATTTTCTTGAGAATTGAAATTTTAAAAGGTGGTAATGGTTTATGTAAGTCTCAAAGGAAGTACTATTTGGAGACATTAATGTTTTTGGTTATCTTGATGTTAAACCCATCAGTACATCAATGCATATGAATCTTGTTGTGACTAATTTTGTAGGTTCTGTGTCTTCAGATCCTCTCTTGTCTGATTTTTCAGGATATCAAGGATTAATTGGTCATTTAATAATATATCTTCTTGCTACAAGACCTGACATTGCGTTTGTTGTTCACTGTTTAAGTCAGTTCATTCACTCTTCTCATCCTTCACATTTTAAGCTTGCTCTTAGTAGTATGAAATATCTAAAATTATCGCCTGGTAAAGGTATACGTTTTCTAAATCTGTTGATTTTAAGCTAAATACTTTCATTAATGCTGATTGGGGGTAAGTGCCTTTCTACTAGATGTCCAGTTACTGGATATTGTTTATTATTGTGAGATTATCTAATCTCTTATTTGTTCAACGATCACTAAACAGACTCATAGATGATCGTTGAACGGAAACGTAACAAATTATTTTTCACTAAGTATGGAGGGTCGTCATCAAATCACTGAGAGAGTTTGGATCAACAATCTCCCCTAAAATTGCTAAGTATTATAGTGAGGAAATGAAACTTGTAAGATATATGTCCCATTTACTGTTTTGTGGCATCTTTTGCAGTGTCAAAGGGAACTTTGTTGAATTTCATTAATTTGTAAAAGATTACAAGTGAGAAAATGAAATTTCATAATTGAGAAGTACATCACTAAAAGCATATTAACTGATAAATGTTAGAAGAATATCAGTGAATGTAATGAAAACAAAGAAAATAAAACTCATAAATGCTTGTCCCAATTACTATTTTGAGGGATCTTTTTCAGTATAAGATGGAGTAAAGCACTGTAATTTTATTAAGGTTGAAACTAAAGATTACAAGATAATGAAATTATAATTTTTAAGTATTAGATACTAAAAGTCTATACACTGAAAGTAGAGAAAGTTGATAAATTGCAAGAACTAATGCCTCAATCAAGATCATTAAGAGGAATGTAATCAGGGACATCTTCTCCTTGGTTCTTTCTTTTCAGCATCTCTTTTTTGATCTTGATGTCCATCATCTCACCAAATAGATCTTCATTCAGCCAAGTCCGAAGATATTTCAGATGTTCCATAGGGAAGAAATGGAATTCTGAAACTCGCTGAAACCTATACTGACCATCATAATCAATGAACGTAAGTCTGTACTAGGGTTTCACATGGACTGAGTTGGGAGCGTAAGGACCCTTCTCAAGCAGTGATAGGTTCAACATGGAGATGTCTGGATTCTTCATATGCTTGAAGAGTTCATCCACTGAAAATTTTGTTTCATGCTCGGTCTTGTGGGATGGTCCCTCTTTAGCATCAGATGTGGTTTTTCTTCTTCGAGAAGGCTTCTGTGGTAGAGGACAAACTTCAATGATCTTTGATATTTGATTAAAAAGTTCATTCAACACTTCTTCGATGTAAGGCTTATGCTTTGATTTGGATTTCTAAATCGCATGTCAAATCTCTAACCATTTTGGAGCTATTAGATAAGCCTTTACCTTTCATGGTAGGAAAGGTCTTCCAACGTTCTCTCGTATCGCCTTAGTTGACACCAGATTTGTAGAATACCAACATGATTGCATAGGTACTATACAAACAACCTTAAACACATGAACAATTTATGTCACTTTCTATCCAAATTTCAATATGCCTCTTAATGATCCCTCACTACATACAACCCTCAAAGCCCAGATACAGATAGGTGGAACGGCCTAGATACAGAGTCCAAAACCACTCTTTAGACATCATGGTTCCAAAACAGGAACACACATGAGATGCCTTGCTTATTGATGTCAATTCAAGTACCACTCCAACATGCACATATGTTCCAAGACAGTTATCCAGATAGGAGTTTCTCAAACTTGTATCAAAAAAATGTGTAACTAATTACAAACAGATCCATCAAGCCCCTGTGCAAACAAACACAACTCCAGATTTCATTCGACATGAAAATGGAATGGTTGAAGTCAAATTCTCGAACAGAGAAACAAATACAAACATATTTCCAACCATTGGCATGATCCAACCATTA